TATAAATTCATATGATGTGATTTTCTGGAATTTTCTTTGGGATTCTGTCTTTCACTGTTAGAATGTACATATGATTAAAGTTATAGATCGTTGCATTCTTTGTAAGTGGGCAAACCTGCAAAATCAGCAAGGGGTCAAATACTTATTTCCCCCACTGTATGTATAAATATAATTCTTTACGCTTAGCGCTTAGTTATAGAATAGAACACAATACATATTTATTGTGCATGGAATAAGGTCTTAGCTGTTACACTAGTAGCCAAGTAATCGACATTTCGTTGTCAAATTCACCTCGTGTTTTTGTGCAATGACAATAAAGGAAGTCTAAGCCCAATTCCCAACGCTGTTCACTTTATACTGTTTGAATTGTTTCCATGGTTCAACCTTTTCTAATCCAAATGTATTTTTATTTAACTTTTTCATGAGCAGTCCTACTAATACCATGTGTGATGATACATGTGACAAATACTCCCGGATGGTTGGTGACAATATCATTACTGTCAATAACACGGACACATTCATCCAGACAGCCTGGGCCCCGCCCACCGCTCAAAAGCCAGAAATAATTATGGCTGTGAAGGTGAAGCTTAACCGTCTGGATGGTGTTTGAAGTCTGAGTCTGTGCTGCAGAGTTCAGGCAGGTGGTGGGGGGGTCATAATGTGGGCTCCACCTTACGCATGAATAATGGGAGTAATAATAGCAATTGTGTCACATAATTACTGTTGCTTGTACTTTTAGACACTTTGGGCCTGCGGGGGGGTCGAGTCGGCAACCTATATTCACATTATAATAATTACAGCTGGGGTGGTAATTATCAGGCTATTGCAGGTTATTTTACAGCTATCTGCGAACGAACGGCGTTCCCACTCCATTAGCCGGCCCCTGAACGCACCACAGGGCTGACTAAAAACGTTGCAAATCTACGGCAAGAAAAAATAAAAAATAAAATAAAAGATAAAATAAAATAAAATAAAATCAAAAATAAAATATAATAAAATAAAATAAAATAAAAAATAAAATAAAATAAAATAAAATAAAATAAAATAAAAATAAAATAAAATTAAATTAAATAAAATTAAATAAAATACAATACAATAAAATAAAATAAAATAAAATAAAATAAAATCA